TATAAACTATATATTTCTATACACATGCAGATTAATAATAACCTATCGCAGTTTATTCTAGTTAAACTAGCTACCACTCCTTAAGTGGGCAGACCTAACTAGGGGCCGGATAGTTAATACACAGTCATTAATGGCATGGCTAGGCTAGTTAGTATTGAGCTTGTTAATTTTTGTTATTGTTTCACTAAGTTAGTTCTTTTCGTATGTACTCAACAGGATATTTTACACCCTCCAATATTCCCAGATATTATTTGCTCAGACCTCGGAAGGAGGCATGTGACCTTCTTTGTCACTACCTGTGGCATCAGATCAGTCCCTATTAACTGATTTTCAATTAAGCGGAACACCAGATTGGGATATCCTGAGCTAGAAGAGTGGGGGGGTCCTGGAGATTGCCAGGGCAAGGGATCTTGGAGGCATCTATGGTGAACTAGACCAGAAGCCTTTCTTCATGCAATCCTTCTGGTAGTACGACCATAAATCTCAGCTCCTGATCGACAGATGACCAGAAGTCCCATCTTTCTGCAGCCTAATCTAATTGGATCTTGTTCCGGATGATTGAATACAACTTTTACAGGATAACCAGTAAAACCTGATTAGAAGATATAGTTAAATTACTATTTTTATTGTATAAAAATTAAATATTATTAACTGAATTTTTATGGTTCATTTTTAAAAAGAAATAAATTAACAAAAACAAAGAATATAATGAAAGTAATTAAATAAAAAAACTATAATATCTCAAAGAAATATTAAAGAATTTTTTTTAAAAAAAATATTGAAGAAAAACAAATATTTGATTTTTTTAAATTTATCTTTATATATTATTTTTAAAAAGTTTTTTTTATTTTAGTTTTTTAGATAATTTAATTTAAATAAAATTAAATACTGTAATTATATAATTAATAATTTATATAGAATGATCCAAATTTGATTTAAAATTTTTGAAATTTAATTTAATTAATTAGAATTGGAATTACTATTTGTATATAATTAAGTTAACAATTAAAAAAAATTCTTTAATTGAACTATTAATAAAACAATAAATTGTTTTCAATATTGTACTTAAAGTTTTAGAAAAATATAAAATAGAGATAAATGAGTTAAATAGAGATTAATTTTAATAAAATTTTTTATAATATATAGTATATAAATATTTAATAATATACTGTATACTATATATATCTAGCTTGATAAAGGATTTTTTTTTAAAAAAAAAGTTTATTATATATATTGTATTGTATATTTTAAGAAATTTATAAATTAATAAATTTTTTTTTAAAAAAAAACTCTTTCTGCTGATCCTCTAACCATATACAAAAAAGATATTCACAAGAAGTTTTATATTTCTTTGTTAATAAAGTCTTTACACTTTCATTAAAACAACTTGAAGCTTGTCTTCATGTATCTTTCCTACCATCTTTTATTTATTTATAACCTCCTTTGAATAAAAACTTGAGCTTCTAGTGATCTGAAAAGACTTAAGTATGTACTTCCTTTACTAAGAACAAGAAAGTAAAAGAATTAATAAGTGGAGTGTCACCTTACAGAGCTAGAAGTGACAAACAATAGAGGTTCTGTTGACAGGAAAAGGCTTATTTTTCACCTTTTTATATACTGTCTTATTCCTTCTTAAAGTGTCTACTATTTTTCACGATTTTTTTGAGAGATTTTGCCTATCTCAGTTTGACTTTGAATTTTTGGTAGCACAATGTCACCTGACATCTAATTGGTTGACATGAAACACATTAGTAACAGAATATAAACAAGCTCCTATTGGTCACCTCATATATTTCGATAATGTCATTGATAACAGAAAGAGTTGATTGGTGTCCCATGTCTATTTCACTCCTTTAATTGGGTTAATCTACAAATAAAATACTATGAGGCCAATAAAATATGAGCAACAAGTTTCCAGGTAGTGAAAAAGCTGCTATTTATTCAAGCTGAGATCTTTCTCTACTATTATTTTGATCAGGCAAAGTTCAAGACCAAGATCTTTCTCTTATCCCAGTCAAGCAATAAGATTGAATAGTCTCTAGTCTATATTAAACTCCAACCTTTTGGTTATAATTGAAAATACATTTCTCTAAAAGTTGTTGAAGAATATCGCAATTGATGAGGATCCTCACCACTATTGTTAATCTTCCATTATTATAAGACAAAATGATTATTGGAGAATCTGACCTTTTGGATAATGGAAGATGTATATCAATAAAATTTCTTTAATTAGATGTGGCTGCTGAAAGATATCATACTGAAACAATATGATCTAGTCCTTATTAGGTCACATAAAAACCTGGAATTCATTATAAGTTATCTGTCTATCGCAGATAGATAAAAAATCATTGGCTAAAGAAGGTTGGGACTAAGTGTATCCTGGAAGTAAAGGCTTCCACTAGACAATAAGTTTTCTCAGACGGAACATAAGAAGGAAATCAAGATCAAGAATGAATAAATTCCTTAGATGGTCAGGAAAAGAAAGAATATCCCAATTGAGTATTTCTTATTGAGAAAAGATCTTGAGAAGCAGATTTTTGGAAAAAGCTGAAAATATTTTTTTCAATTTTTACTTTTTCATTTTCTTGTTACCTATTTAGTTATTTTTAGATATCCCCTTTCTTCTTTTTTTCAATCTATCCTTTTGTAGTTTCTTGTATTCCAGCAACTTAATTAGACATATGGCAGTGACAATCTGCTGACAATGATGCAGTGGACTAGGAAGGTTTTCACCCAAAGACACTGTGAAGTGAAATATTGTTTCCAAGGCCAAACTTAAAGGCTTTTATACTTAAAACAAGTTAGTTAGATTAGAATAATAGTTTAACTGTAGTATGTATCATGCTGCTCAAATAAAAATGTACTTGTGTTTTCAATTGATTAATAAACTGACAATCTAGTCTGACTACGGGTACTCAAAAAAAAAAAAAAATAAATAAATAAATCAATAATTTTTTTTTTTTTTTAAAAAAAATAAGATTTAAAAAATATTATATTATATAATTTGTATATTCTTTTGATGTCGTTACACTATAAATTTATATTATAAGAATATGATGCCCGTGACTGTTACTAATATACAGTATAGCGCAATATGAATTTCTTCAGGTTTATCGCACAAAGTCGATTGGGTTTGTAATTCGGACATGGAATTTACTCTGAATTTCAATGGCTAATTATTTTTACAGAATACGTAGTTTTTTTTGTTATAATCTTTTTATTTTGAATGAGTCTAAATACTTGATATGAGGAATACATGGAATTCTTGATTCAAGTTTTTTTTTTGTGTTCCTCCTGAGTGATATTTCTAATGTTTTCTGGTAGTCTCCAGTGAAGCTTCTGAACGCTTTGCCATCGGGTATCATTTGATGTTTTGTAATAGTCGAACCCTCGGTAATTGCTATCTGGTTGCACACCATAAGCTTCTTCTTTCTCTACATCACTTTTCCGGTTATCTCGTCTTTTTCTATGATCTTCATCCTTTCTTTGACTGGAGGTTCTCATAACATTTTCAGGACTAGAACTGTCAGAAGCAGAAATATATTCCGTAAATTTTTCGTCCGGATTCCAATTTTTTAACGATCGCATATTAAGATATTTATTCCTATCCACCTTTTTCTCGTCAATGAACCAAAGGTATGCACTCTCGCCTTTCTGAAGTTTGGTAAGTTCGGGATCAGTAGATTTTCTTTTGTACAATTCACCGCGTAGTTTCATATTACGCAAGATTTCGCGTTTAAGATAATTTTTAGTTTTGAATTGTGGAAAGCAAGGTATGTATGCGGCAATCTGTTTTCCGGACTGAGGTCCATTTCTGGCCAAAAGGTGGAGCACTATGCTAGAAGGTTTTAATTTATCGAGGGTCATTTTGTTATTGTGAATTATCGGATTGATAATCTATAAAATGTGATTTCCCAGGTCGCACCGAGTTTTTTCACGTGACGAAAGTTTTATGTGCCGAACTTTTTTTTTTTTTTTTTTAGCTAAAAATGGCACACATACGAACACATAAAAACCCTGTTCTCATTAAAGTCAAGAGCGAAACGTTAATTAACGACCAAGAAGCATTGCAAGGTATAGCGAGATACACAGCGAGTGAGGCCGTAAAAAGTCTGCCGCAAAAGAAGTTTGACGACATATATAGATTAAAAGAACACCTGTCCACGCGAGATAATAAACGTAAGGCCGTTACCAGGTTCTTTCCGGGAATAATCAGTGATATTGAGAATAGGAAAAGAACGTATGATCTTGAAGGAGATGGAAATTATGAAGAGGTAAAAATTAAAATTGAGAAACAAGAAAAAAAACGAAAAGATGATGATAATGAAGTTGGAACAAGAATTGTAACGGAAGAAACGAAAAAACAAAAAAAAAGAGAAAAAGAAAGAAAGGGGAAGAAAAAAGTTAAACTATGAGAGACAAACCTAATCAATTTAGCTAATTACAATATTGGAGAATATTAAACTAGGCAGATGCCAGACCTTGATAATAAATAAAATATAATAATAACGATTCGATTTATAATATATGCGCATATACTTCCATTCGATTTAACATGATATTATGCATATCCATCATTTAATTAGTTCTACTGGATTAAAATTCTTCGACAAAATAGACCGGTTGTCTCCATACTATATATCATACATATTTAAAAGTGGCTGATACTTACGGCATATAATTCATTCTTGCTCTTATCATTAATAATAAAAATAAATTCAATTTGGTTATTAAATCTGTTAAATAGAATATTTATTTGAATATACAATGTATAGTATTAATAATATTAAGACCTTTCCTTTCTGTAACATAAAATTAGATTATAATTTATTTTTTTTTAAAAAAAAAATAAGCAATCGTGATCCCGTAACAACTTAGAATATTTGGGATGTAATGATTACGAGTTATCTTCGGTGCTTTGTATCGTACACATCATTAATTTGAATTATTATTGAAAGGATTTAAAAAGCAGAAAATGACCAAGCTGACAGCAGATAACGTATGAATTCAGAAGGGTTAATGTTCAATGTTATAAATAATCCCAGGATTATATAAATGATTTTATTATTGTACCATATTCTTCCAGAATATAGTGACGGAATCATACTTTAGTTGGCATCTAATAATCTACAGATTATAAATAAATATGAAGTTTCCAATCTAATTCTCTGAGGTGATTTTTTTATATAGTTCTTCAAAGATCAGATCGCCCGTACGATCGTATCCATCGGCCGTTAAATGAACACCGTCGGGTTCCCAATATGGTTTTCCTTCCTTTGAAGTTGAGTCGAATGGTAAGTCTTTTGATAAATCATAAAATGTCACGTTATTTGTTGTTTGAGAGTAATTTCTGGTTTAAGTGATATGAAGAAATAATAAATTAAGAAAAAAAATAATTAAAAACATGAAAGAAGCTTAATATGTGTCTAGAATACTTGCTTGATTAGTTCGTTAATTGCGATTCGCTTCTCTTCGCATTCGCCTCCCAATAATTCCTATCGTTAATCGATGATTAGTTAGTTAATTATTTAAAATAATTTAAGTCAACTAATTTAGATCTTTACCAGAATAGATAAGGCCAATACTTTTGAATTATATTGTCCACAAATATCGTAAAGATGTTTTAGTCCTTCAAAGATTTGGTCACTTGACTTTAGAAATAAATCATTTGTGCCTTTATTTAAAAGATGAATAAGACAGTGTTCGAGCGCTTAACAGGCAGCAGGTGAGAAACTTATGTAAGTACCTCCCATTATTACTACCCAATCCACTCTTTTATCCTCAGATTTTTTGCTTAAATATTTTTTCAGCCTACGTTCCATACTCGGGCCGGTTACTCTATCGCCCGACACTCCTTCTTGTGTAATCTGTTACAGACTGAGTTAGTATATTTAAATACAGTTCAAACGATATATAGTATCTTAACGTACCTCAACATCCGGACATACATTTCTGAGCCTTCTTTCTAACTGAATCTGGTAAGGATGAAAAATTAAACCTCCACGTGTAAATCCTTCAGTTAACGAATCTCCTAACAAGTACAATATTAATTTCCTAATTGAAGAGGTGGACATTTCCAGAGACTTGAATTCTAAAGTGTATTAAAATAAGATTAAAGGTTTTGAGATCGACAAGATTTTATTTGGGATATACTGTATGTCACGAGTAGGGTGGCCGGAAATAAGCACTATGCATATGCGGTCTTTTTTCGCATATTATATGCGACCGCATATTTGTCACCTTTAAAAAAAAAAAAAAATGATTACCGCTAGTGAACGTCAACGTGACCTTTATCGAGAAAATTTTTACATAGAAGGCAAAAAACTATTTTGTGTTTTTTGCAACTGTGTAGTAAATCAT